GAGTGGCAGACCACGGCCCTGGGCTGGCTTTTGTAGCTTACCCTGAGGCCCTCACGCTGCTTCCCATCTCCCCGCTCTGGTCCCTACTCTTTTTCTTCATGCTCATCTTGCTGGGGCTGGGAACTCAGGTACGATACATGTGCGCTTGTGCGTGCGTGCATGCGTGTGCATGTGTGCGTGTGTGTGCATGCATGTGCAAATGCGCGTGTGTATTATGTTGGCAGCTTGGGCAGGAGGAACTGGGGCAGAGGGCAGGTCCTTATTCCTGATGGCTGTGTCTGTAGTTCTGCCTCCTAGAGACCCTCGTCACTGCCATTGTGGATGAGGTGGGGAATGAGTGGATTCTGCAGAAAAAGACCTATGTGACCTTGGGTGTGGCCGTAGCTGGCTTCTTGCTGGGCATACCCCTTACCAGCCAGGTAAGAGTGGAGATGTGGTGGGGAAGGCAGGGTTTCACTTGCCGGGGCATCGGGGGAACGGGTGGGTAGCTGGGCCTGTGGCACCCTGGCTCATCCGCCCACTGGCTCACAGGCAGGCATCTACTGGTTGCTGCTGATGGACAATTATGCAGCCAGCTTCTCCTTGGTTGTCATCTCGTGCATCATGTGTGTGTCCATCATGTACATCTACGGTAAGTGCCCACCCTCCCATGGCCTCCAGTGTCCCGGTCTCTGACTGGCCCTCTCTCCTGCTGAGCTGCTGACCCCCTCGTCTCTCCAGGGCACCGAAACTACTTCCAGGACATCCAGATGATGCTGGGGTTCCCGCCACCCCTCTTCTTCCAGATCTGTTGGCGTTTTGTGTCCCCAGCCATCATCTTTGTAAGTTCCTCCGCTCCCCGCTCCTACTGCCCCTTGGCCAAGTGTCCCCTTGGGAACTAGCAGGGCGAGAGCAGGAAAACATCCCCCCAGCCAGAGCTCTACCTCCAGCTCCGGCTCTGGGCATCCGAGAGGGCTCCATAGTCAGATGTGTGCAGACTCGGAGGCGCCAGGCCCTGGCCTAGGGTTAGGAAGGGGGTCCTGAGCCCTTGAAGCCAGTGCTGATCTCAGAACTGCAGCAGCTCCAGGGACATAGCCTCACTCCCTGGCATTGCCACCCAGCTGCCTCCAGGGGCCTCAGGAGTCATTGACATTGGTGGGTTTTCTGTCTACCTTGCTGCTCTTACCCTAGACCCTCATGGAGGCAAGCGGGAGATGGATGGCAGATACGTGGGAATGTGGCGGCGTTCCTGGGCAGCCCAGGACCTTTTGGTGCAGGGCTAGGAGTTTGGTCAGCTCTGAACCTCCAAGGCTGGGAAGTTGGCTGGCTTTGGAGGGAACATCCCCATTTCCAAGAACATTCATCAGAGCGCTGCAGTGGTGGCAGGGTCCCCTGCAAGGCAAGGAGCCGGTCCCTTCCTTGACCCCGTTCACCTGTTAACTCATTCAGGGTCCCCTGCAAGGCAAGGAGCCGGTCCCTTCCTTGACCCCGTTGTTCACCTGTTAATTCATGCAGCACCTCTCTGGGTTATTGTTATCTCCACCCTACGGATAGGAAACTAAGGCACAGCGATGTTAAACAGGCCCATCGCCACACACTTAATAAGGGCAGGAACCCTAGGCAGACCAAACCATGCTATAGGATGATTGGCCTGGGGGCTAAAACTTGGCTCCTTTTCCTGCTGGTTTGAGGTGCGAAGGGGACAGGCTGATGGCATAGTAGTCACTATAGGAGAGGGTCAGAGTGTCCACTCAGTCACTGTACAGAGTGTAAGGGCTCGCTCAGTGGCAGTGCAGTGTCCAGAGTCACCTGTGTCTTCCACAATTCCACGGAATCATGGAGAGCTCTGTGTCAGGCTTCCACACTGGCTCATGTTTCTGCAGAGAGGCCCCTGGAGGACTGAGGCCTCCACCACATGGGGTGTGGGGTGTTCCCGAGCCTGGCACGGGCAACAGTTTTGGCCACGGGCCCAGCACTGAGGCAGGAGGAGCGGAAGTCTCCTTTCAAGGCCGTCAGGCCAGAGCGGGCCAAAGCCACTGCCTAGCACCATGCCCTCTGGCGGTGTGGCATTGGCCCAGGCCCAGGCCATAACCTCCTATTACCTGGGGTCACCCACCAAGGGCCTTGGCCTGGATCCTGTGAGACCTCTAGGAGTAGACATAGAACGAAGCAGGCAGTGCCTGGAAAGCCAGGCTGGAAATACCTTAAGGTGAGGAAAGGAATCCAGGCTGTGCAGACATACTCATGTTCCCTTTGGGGCTTTATGTGCCCATGAAGCTCCTGACAGACCTTATCCTTCCCTCCCGAAGTCCAGTGAAGGAGTTCGTCCTCACATATATTAGGCTTAGCCACGCCAGGTGTGGCAGTGTTCACCTTTAACCCAGCCCCAGGGAGGCAGGAGGCAGAGGCCGGCCAATACCTGAATTGGAGGCCAGCCTGGTCTACATAGAGAGTTTTAGGCTAGCCAGGGTGACACAGTGAGACACTGCCTCAAAAAAAAAAAAAAGGCAACAACAACAACAACAACAACACACACACACACACACACACACACACACGAACACACACACACCACACACCCCAGGCTCTGCTAGGTCAGGAAACTCTTACAGTCTATGTGTGCACCCAGGAAGGATGCCCAAGTTTCAGGGTGGGGAAGGTGAACTTGAGCTCCAGGATGCCCCTAAAGGCCGAGAGGCAAGTTGAGTCCCTTCTACAGGGCCCTCTGGGTGTGGCCATGCCTGTTTCTTTTAGATCCTTTGCTGGCTGCAGCCACGGGCACTTTCCAGTCCCTTAACTACCTGACACTCAGCATTTTTAGCCTCTGGGCACTCTCCAAGCTGAATGTCACTGTTACCACAACCGTCGTGAGGCAGGACCTGTTCCTCAACAACCCCCCCATCCCCCACATCTCCTGGCACAAATCAGCTCAAGTAGATAAATGAGATTGTGCAAGGCACCTTAGGTCCAGAGTTAATGCAATCCTAGGAAAGCAGATGGGAAATGCCGTGAAGAAGCCTTTTAGGAGGCAGAAAATCCAAAAAGGCTTCCTGAAAGAGGTGGCATTCATTGGCTCAGGACTTGACGGGAAAGTGAAGATGTGTCTGCAGAATGAATGGAGGGGGTAGGAAGAAATGCTGAGTGTGGTGGAAACTTGAGGTAGGGTCGCTGTGGCCAGCGAGACAACAGGTCATCAGGCAGAGCTGAAGCCTAAGGCCAAGAATTGGTCCTTTTCTCAAGAGAAAAAAATGGCTGCTCTCCAAAGGTGGTCTGCTAGTTCAGGACTCGGGCAGAAGCACCTCTTTTCCCTTTATGGTGTCTACCTGCCCAACCACTCCCTGGGCGGTGGGTCCCTCCTGCTTCCTTCACTCGGGTGGTGACAAGTTGCCTTTGCCCCAACCAAAACGCCTTTTACTGCCTTGGGAATCCGGAGAGGAAGGGTTACTACTGGGAGGGCGAGCCTGGGGTCCAAGCCTGGCGGGTCCAAGCCTGGAGTCCAAGCCTGGCGTCCAGGAGGGGCTCTGGCCAGCCTCACGCCTCCCCACCTCTACCCTCTGCAGTTCATTCTCATCTTCACGGTGATCCAGTACCGGCCAATCACCTACAACCACTACCAGTACCCGGGCTGGGCCGTGGCCATCGGCTTCCTCATGGCTTTGTCGTCCGTCATCTGCATCCCGCTGTACGCGCTCTTCCAGCTCTGCCGCACAGATGGCGACACACTTCTTCAGGTGAGGCGTGGAGGAGGAAGGGCTGGCTGGGCAGCCAGGCTAAGGGGAGACACTTGGAGCTTAAGGGTTCCCCTCTGACTCACTCTTCTCGCTGCGCCCTCTGCCTGCAGCGTTTGAAAAATGCCACAAAGCCAAGCAGAGACTGGGGCCCCGCCCTCCTGGAGCATCGGACTGGGCGCTACGCCCCCACCACAGCCCCTTCTCCCGAAGACGGCCTTGAGGTCCAGCCGCTGCACCCGGATAAGGCCCAGATCCCTATGGTGGGCAGTAATGGCTCCAGCCGCCTCCAGGACTCCCGGATATGAGCACAGTTGTTGCAAGGGGAGAGGATCCCCCACCCCCCACCCCTTGCTCCCACCACAGAGACTGGGGAGGCAGTGGACAGGTGTGACCGCCTGCCCCATCATGCCCTGGCCAGGACAGCTGCTGTCACCTTGGCCGCCACTGCTAGTGCAGACATTTGTGCTCATGTCCCCAGTGTTTACATGTCCTTCGGATGCCAAGACAGCAGGCGGGGGGTGGGGTGGGGGTGGGAAGGCGATGGGAGGATTGCGGTGGGGGTGGGGGGGTGTCCAAAGCACTTTGGAGGAGGTCTCAGGCCAGGTCCCCAGAGGCCTGCCAGGCTTCAGAGGGCCTCTGATACCCTCCTACTCTGCCCTGTGCTGTTTGACTAGGGCGTAAGAGGTTCTGGCTCCACACCCCACTTGTTACCCTCCAGCCTCGAGACCAGTGTTCCTGACCACAGTCTCTGCACCTGTGTCTTCCTGCTCGGGACGAGGCCAGGGGCCACGGGCTCACAGTGTTACTTAGACTGTATCACCCAGCCCTGTTGGTGTAATTATTTTTTGTAAAAATGGTATCACCTGTGGTTGCCACCCCCTACCCCAACCTTGGGTCCAGTCTGTCTTCCAGGCCGGCCTGCACCTCACTTGGCTGCTCTGGTTCTCTGGCCCAGCCAGCAGAGGCTGTGACCCAGCAGCCTGCCCAAAGCACTTATGGAGAGAAAGAGAGGGGACTTCCTACTGAGAAGTCTGAGCCCGGAGTCCTGGGGAAGGGGACCCTGCACGACATTCCCTGTCCACCCTCCGCCAGGTTGAATGCCAAATGGCCCCAGTCCACGTGCCCGCCCCCCCCCCACCTCTGCAGTCAGAGCTCCTTCTCCCAAGCCCTGCAATGTCGGTTTGTCCGTCCTCTGTGCTCTCTGCAGTGACAGCTCTGGCCAAGCCACCTCTAATCCTCTGTAGCAATAACGGTGTGCCGCCCGCCACTGCCCATCGTGGGCCACTAGGGTTTTAAAGTCCATAGATTTTAATGAAATTTCTATTCCTGTCTCTGAGCTGCTGCTGTGCTTTGTCTGGGTCCCTTGGGGACAAAAGTCAGGTTGGGAATGGGACCTCTTGTTTGCCAAGCCCCTGTGGAGGCCTGAGTGGAGGAGAGGGGCCAAAGGCTTTGATGGGTAGAACAGGTGTCCTGCCACTCAGTCCTAGATACAAGTGACCTGGCAAGGGGTGGGGCTGGGACCAGACGAACACACAGCCTTGTGGGGACTGTGAGCTCATCTGAGAATGAAGCAGAAACCGGTAGGAGCTTATGGCCGCTGGAGGTAACAACAACAGATGGGCAGGGTACAGCCGAGGCAGAGGCCCGTTCTGTGACCGGCCCTTCAGGTGGGAGCCTGGGACGCCGCGCTGGACACTGGTGTGGAAGCTGGCTCTTCCCAATAGCTGTATCGAAGCTGCCGTCTCCAGCGCTGAGAGGCTGCCTGACCTTGCGGGTGGGGGCAGCGCTCCGAAGGAGGTGTCGGCATGTAGCCGTGGAGACAAGGAAAGGGCCTGAGGCCGGGAATGGACCTCAAGGGCTTCTGCCTGCACGGGATGGGTAGCTGTGAGGTGACCGTGACCTGACGCTTCACACTACCCTCTGCCCGCCCTGGGTTTTGGTGTACCTGTGCTTGCCAGAGACACAGGAAGGTCCCAGGGAGAGTTGTAGCTCCTGTTCCATGGCCGCCTTCTGTTCCTTTATCTCTGAGGAAGGGCAGAGCTGAGACAGTCTCTTCCGGAGTATGTATAGTATAGGGAAGGTAGGGGCAGGGTACTCTGGGGGATGGCCTGGGGTCCTTACCTGCCAGGGTGGGCTCTAGGGTGGCCTTGGAGGGCTGGCAAGACTGCATCTGCTCCATTTCCAGAGAGTGCTGTGGAGAGATCTGGTTCAGGGACCCTGCCTAAAGGTGAGACCAAGAGCCCTAGCGCAGGGCTCAGGAGCAAGACCATGCAGTCTTGCCGCCTGACCATCATGGACGCAGAGCCCGTGGAAAGCCAAGCTTAGCAAGATGGTGGCTGGGCACTGGAGAGAGGAGGCCAGAGGCCTGGGGCTGGCAAGTGGGTTAGTCTAAAACTGCTGACCATGGCCTCTGAAACATGAGAAACGGGTGTAGGACTCACACAACCTTGACATGCATGTAGGTCCACAGACACACGGGCGTGATCCCTGCTAAGCAGAGAACCCGGGGGAAGGCTCAGGGCTGTGCTCACCTGCAGGTCAGAGACCTCTCTCTGCAACATGTGACACTCCTCCTCCAGGAGGCTCCTAGACAGGAGCATGAACAGCCAGACCCTGTGAGGCAGGACCTCCCCAGCTGAACCCGTCACGTGGCCCCAACCTCCAGAACCACCAGGAGCCACACCAGCCCCTTCATTCTCCGGCCATATTGTCCTCTGGATACTGCCTGGGCATAGCCTTCCAGCGCCCACCATTTCTAGTCATCTCAGTGTTTGCTCCCCAGCAGGCGCTCTCCTCTTCAGAGCCCTGGCACTGAGCCCGTGGCTCATCCTGCTTCCACTAGCCCCACGTCACAGCCTGCTTATCACCTTCCCTTGGCTCCTCTTGTACCTAGGGCCCTGGCCCCTCCTGGTCTGTACTTGGCTACTTGCGGGTACTGTGACAGGGCCCACCTCAGACAGACGCACGCATGCACGCACGCACGCGCACACACACACGACAGTCTACCTACCTGCACACTCCCTTTCAGGCAGTCCCAGCCCCTTAAGGTCCACCCTGTCTTCTCATCCCCAGTCTACACACACTCAAGGACTCCTAGGCCTCACCTCAGGTGTCTGGCAATCTGGTCAATGTCAGACACATTCAGTTGGTCCTTGATGACACTGAGGTCCCTGTGACAGCTGCTGACATGTGAAGTTAACATCACCCCCTCCATGTTGCTCGCTCTAGTCCTTTGGGGAACAAATGCCACTTCTAGATAATTTTGTTTTCCTCACACAGACAACATACTATAGTGCAAACAATAGTTCCAGAGCCCAGGCTTGCACGTGGATTCCGCCACCTCCCACTGTGTGACCGCGGGGAAATTATCTTTCTGAGACTTTTTTTTTTTTTGGTCTAAAAACCGGGGACAGTACTCAGCTTATAGGACTGTAGGGGGATTTGAATAAGAAATTGGTGCAGTCTACTTATGAACATGAGCCTGTTCATTTATCTCATTCTGTCCCCAGCTGAAAATGTCATTTGTCCCCTCCTCTCAGCTCTTTATGTACCTCTAGCCCAGTCCTCAAGCTTGTTCACTGGGCATGAGAAGAACTGCTCACTGGACATGGCCTCATGGCCTCATGGCCTCTCCCTGCCTGCAAAAAGTCCTCGCCCCTTTATCTGCTTGGAAAACAGCTCCTCATACCTTAGGACCCAGACCTAAGCAGCCGTTCTCCCAACAAGCTCTGTCTGTCCCAAGCTGGGCAGGTGTTCCCTCAGTACTTCAGCCCTATGACAAGTGGCTCTAAAGTGTCCAGCCCCAGAATGAGAATCCCTCCACAGGACTGGGTCCGCTGCACCAGCTGCCTGGGTCCTTCTGCCTGGCAGGGCTAGAGCCCCCCTTTTTACCATCACTTTACCTGGGCTCACCAGCTCTCATCTGGGATAGGTCCTGTTGTGTTGAATCACACCTGGGCTCCTCTAAGGCAAAGCGAAGGACCTTGGGACTATACTGTGCCCACGCCTGGGTCTGGTCCCTGGAAACACAGGCATGAAGGGACCTGAGGGTCTCCTCTCAGGAAACCACACTGGCGCTTACTCAGAGGCAGCCCATGTGATGGCCGGGTAAGGGGGCCAGGCCGAAGACTCCCACCTGCCCTCACAGAGAGCCTTAAAGCGGAGGCACTGGAGCAACTGTCGGAGTTCTTGGCGCATGATATCCCTCAGGAGGGGTGGTGGTGCCAGGAGGGAGGGAGGCTCAGAGACCAGGCGGGATCCCGAGGCTTGAGAAGATCGGAACTCTTGGAGCAGGGCCTTTAACATCGCCACCTGCAAGGAGAGCTGGGGCACCTTGCCACTGGGGCAGAGGGGGTGGGTGTATGTGTGTTGGGGGGACTGTCAGGGATGGGGGAGTCAAACGGGAGAAAGGGCAGACAGTGAAAACAAGGTGATGGGGGATCACCAAATAGAGCTAGGGACCCGGTGGAGGCAGGAAATCACGTGAGTTGCAGGGGAGGCGTGGAATGCGACCCACCCCCACCCACCGGACTCCCACCTCCTCTCGCAACTCCAGGCTCAGATCCACCGCTGCCTCCCCCAGAATCCTCTTCACTTCAGGCCGCTCCGGGAGTGGAACATGCTCCTCCACCAGCTCCCACAGTGCTGGGGAGTCCCAGGGCATGGCCTGCCTGCGTCGCGGCCCCCTTTTCAGACCTATGAGACGGACTCACCGCAGGTCAGAGTGCTAGATTTCCTGGGAGACCGATGGTTGCTCCGGACCGGAGCCCCGCCCACCGAGCCCCGCCCATTGACTTCGAGGCCCCGCCTTGTCCTGCCTAAGTCCCTACACTGGAATTGTGCGGTCTCTTAGTGGCCTAATTTCGGGCCGACCCCCCTGGGTCCCGGATCCTGACCACCTCTGGGGAAAACCAAGCTGTGGGAACCGGGCCTTAGCCCCTTCCCTCCCAAGAGGCGGTCACCTGGGAAACCACCGAGCCCCAGGATCGTCCTCGAGAGAGGCCCCGCCCCGCTCACGGTAGCTGAGCCACAAGCTAGTCAGCTAACACTTGGGCTCACCCCGGGGACACCTTTCTACCTCGGAGGAAGTAGAACGGAGAAATTTGGTCCTGCTGGGTTCGTTATTTCCTCACCTTCCTCCTAGCCTGAAGGCAGCATCAAGATAAACTTTCTCCCACGTTTATTAAGTCCCAAGATGGCCCTGGTCAGGTCACCTCCCCCAACACGAACTGGCTTCGGCGAACCAGAGCCCATTCGCACACAGACACAGAGCTGCTCCATTAACGTTTTTTACTAAAGCACCCACACAAGTGTCTGTGCAACATATAAACATTGAGCAGGCCCTGGGGCTTCTGCCTCCTCTCGAAGGCAGGGAGGCCAGAACCATTGGCTGGTCCAAGCCCGACCTGTCCCCCATGCAAAGGCCAACCCCATGATCCCAGGAACGCAGCACCCCTTCTGGCCCCTCCTGGGGGCACTCCTCAGGAGGTGGCTTACCCAAGCTTGGCCCCCTACCATGTTCAAGGAAAAAGGTTCCCCTCCCCTGGAAGCATGAGGGGTACCCAGATCTGAGGACTCCCCCTGGAAGAAACGCTGCCCCCTAGTCAAATCCTCCCACCTTTCCAGGCCCTAGGGGACTCAAGGGGGGTGGGAAACTGAGGCACAGAGGTGGAGTGACCTAGCCCAGGCCACTCCGCGAGGCAGTGCAGGGGCTGGCCCAACCCTAACAGTGAGGAGGTTTGGGCTGGGGGAAGTAGGGCAGGAAGAAGGATTGACCTCAGAGAGGGCCATGAAGAGGGGCTTGCCCAGAAGCCCCTCAAAGTGGGTTCTGAAACTTCTAGGTGCAGCTGGCTGTCTATTAAGACCTTCAGAAAGCAGCTCACAGTCTCAGTCTTGGGGGATGCCCCCCCAGAGCAGCTGTCAGGCAGGCTGTAGGTCAGTCCTCTGGCCGGCAACCCTCCACGTCGGAAGGGCATGGAGGGCCTTTGTCCGTCAGTGTCAGCCTTGATTGAACCAGGACATGGGCCGACCGATGTCCACTGTGATGTTGGTGAAGAGAGGCTGCCGAGACACTTCCAGGACTCGGTACCGCACTGATCCAATGCCATCCCACTTCATGCTCATCTTTGTGTTCTGAATCTTACTAAACCTGGAAAGGGAAATGAGTTCAGATCAAGGCTAACAGTCTGCTCCATCTTGAATCTCTGGGGCTAAGCAAGGCACAGGCCATTCTCTCCCTTTAGAGACAGAAGCCCATTGCTCTTACATTTTCTCTCAAAACGAAGACCTCACTCCCTTTGGTCGGAAAGCGTGACTACAATATTCTCACAGGTCTCTCCATTCAGACCTTGACCATATATATAATTTTTATTATTATGGGGGCATGTGTGTAGAGGTCAAAGGACAATCACGTGAACTTGGGCCTTTCCTTCCCCCTTTACATGGTTCTGCGGATTGAACCCAGGACTCCAGGCTTACCCAGGAAGCACCTCTACTCACCAAGCTACCTTGCTGGCTTGACTGCAATATTGGAGGCATCCCCATGTCCCTCCACTGTAATGTATATCCCTGTGAGACATGTCATCTCTACTCTCCTGACCCCTGCCATCTCTGTCTCTCTTCCATTAGTAACTCCTTCCACACCGGCTCCTCTATGCCAGACTGCACTCTGGGTTCAGGGACGCAGCCATGAACAGGACATGCAAGGTCCTTTTGCTCACAGCAAGTTTGCCTCACTAAGGAAGAAAGACACTAGGCCAAGGAAACATCAGAGCGCTAAGGGTACAAGGTGAGCAGGATCTGGGGAGAAGTACGTGGCGCTAAGCTGAAGGCAGAGGGGAGAGCATTTTACGCAGAGGTCGGAGCACACAACAAAGGGAAAACAGATTAAGACTAGCTTGTCGGTTAGAGCGTGTATGGGCAGGACTCTCTAAGTCATAATAAGCACTTCATATTCTGTAGCAAGGAGACACCACGGGATTCTTAACCCAGTTTCGGCAGAAATGTAGGATGGACTATGGAAGGGCAAGGAGGAGGCAGGAAAACTTGCAGCTGTCAGGGCAAGATCACAGAGACCAGACTAAGGTAAAGGAGGAGAAGGAGTTAAGCAGATGGGCTCAGATGCTTTGGGGGTGGTACTGACATGCTTTGCTGATGATTTGAACATGGAGGGTGGAGGAAAGAATCCTGGAGAACTCTTAAATTAAGGCAAAGCATATTAGAACCACCATCCAGACTTCCTTAGCCCAGAAATTTCATGCTGTCTAGACATATCTACACCCAAGCAGGCATCACTAATTGATGACCAGCTAATTCTACAATGAGACCCACGCTCCTGGCATTTATCTGCCTGTCATCCCTTCCCGGCTGACCATGGTTTCATCTAAACCACATGCTTTTCCATTGGCTCCCTGGATCCCTGGGGGTCTCATGCTTCTACCAAATCCCAGCCCCAAGTCAGCCCACAATCTGTCTCTCCATTCCTATAGTCTGAGTTTAGAGCAGAAAAGTCAGGGGACACAGAAGTCCCAATGGTCCTTCTGCCATGTCCCCTCCAGTTTTATAAATTCCTTTCATGAATTCAGGCCTGGTTAATTCTCCCTAGGTCTACCCAGCAGCTAGGCCATTCCTTCACCTTCCTTGAGCTCAGAAAGTAAGCCTGCCAAACAAATTAAACGGTGTCTGTCCCTGTTCAGGGACTTACCGGGACTCTCAGGCCCTCTGGGAAAAAGTTAAAACGCTCCTCGTACTCAACTACACAGCACTGATGCCCCTACTGTGGCCCCTAGCCTTCAGCTGTCTAAGAACCAAATAGCTTCAAGGTTTCCATATATGCATATATGCTCACTCTGACCTACGAAGGCAAGTCCCTACATCCTCTGGCCTTCTCCATCAGCCAGGCAATACAGCACTGGTGAATATATGCCCAAGGGAATGGGAGGCAAATTCTAGTGAATAAGTAAATTTTCAAGGCCCAGTTTATGTTCCCACTACCTCACTCCTTTCTCTGCCAGGAAAGCGGCTGGGTTCTCTGACCTGTGGCATAAGTATTTTCCTTGCCTAGTGTGAGCCTCATAAAGGAGAGCAGGACAGGGATTGGGTGTGACTCCAGAAGGCTTGGCACCACTCAAAGACCTAGGAAGCTCAAGGAGTCTTTGCTTGTATTTCACATGCCTATCAGACCTTTCCCAGCCAGCCACAAACATCCAATGTGGGTATCTCAACCCTAAAAGGAGTTGGCTGCTCTGAGTGGTCTCAACTCTCCCTCCGCGTACTTCCTCTGCTCGGCGCACCTTTGTTGAGCTCCTAGGATCCATGGCCAGAACCCACTACCTGTCATCTTATCTGCTTTGACAAGGCCAGTGTAAGCGGGGGTCATCCAAGGTACGTAAGTGGGGTACTTGAGGGCACTAATGGAAATGCAGTCTATGCCATGACAACCCAAGCTGGAATTTAAATTCTAGTCACCTCTAGGAAGCAACCCAGGGGTGCTAGGAGTCACCTTTAGAGGTCAAGGGTCAGGAGCATGAGGGTCATTTCTAGGGATCAGCTGCCTCTAAAAGGCACTTCTCATGAGCCAAGGATGCTCAGAGGCCTCCTCTATGGGGTCAGAGATGAAAGGCATTGGGGATAGTGGGAAGTTACCTCTAGGGAGCAAGGGGTCAGGGGCACCTGGGGTCAGGGGTGCTGGGGTCACCTCTGAGGGTTGGGCTCGTTATGTTTGTCTCGGTCGTGCTTGATCATGCGGTAGCGGCCTATCCGGACATCCGGGCGCGAGATCTTCATCCCAGTCAGAGAGATCCTAGGACGGGCAACAGGCAGACTGAACAGGCACCGGGGCAGGTGAGGAGCCCCACCCGGGTCTGTGACTCCTCGCTCCCTCACCCAGCCTGCTCTCGGCCGGCCCCACCTCTACTTACCGGTTGAAGATGTCGTCATCCTCACCGCCCCAGCCCCAGTACTCGTTGGGAAAGCCGTTGATCCTCAGAAACTGGGCCTTACTCAGGCCTGACACACCTCCGAAGTAGCTGGCGTAGGGCAGCCTAGGACACGGGAGAGCGGGTGTTAGGGTCACGAGGGGACGCCAAGATGCGTGATCACAGATGGCGCGTGGGGAGATCGTGTGCCTAGCACCCAGGGAAGAGCGACATTACACAGAAGGATCCGAGCCAGGGGCCAGAGGCTAGGGAGGCACTGAAGCCGGAACTGCGGGTCTGGGTGAAGTGGGGGGTGGGTAGGTCCAACGCTTCGCTAAGCACGTCTCACCGGAAGCCAAACTTGTCCATGGCGATGGCAAAGTGGCGGGGCTGGTCACCACAACGATACAGATTGCGGTCATCCATAGGGACCAGGTCCACGTCACTGAAGATGAAGCAGTCATAGGTAGCGTCCTCCTTCAGCGCCTCTAGGAAGCCTACGTTGAGCAGCTTGGCCCGGTTGAAGGTCTCCTCACCATGCTGGTGGGTGGGTGGATGGATGGGCACAGATCAGCTCTGGGTCCGTAACCAGCAAGTACCTGCCACTTGCGTCCCCAGCGTTGTCCCCCATTCCCACAACTCCCTCACAGTCTCAGGTTGATTTCCCCATCCAGAGACCCTTTACAGTTTGGCTCCAGTCTCCAATTTGGTATTGCCAGATTCTATGGCCCAACCACATTATATTCCTTAGACACCACAGAACACGGAGGACTTTTTGTTACCGGGCACTGGAGGTGGTTAGCAGTGCCCCTGTCTAGAATGCAGTGCTCTAATAGTCAGACTCATGCCAGCAAAGGCCGACTTCTGAGCAAACCTCCATTTATACCGGGGTCCACTAAACCACTAGAGAGTGTTCACCTCATCCATTCAAACACACCCCGTGACTTTCTTTGTGCCACATGAGCCTCCTCCGTGCCGGTGGAGAGTCTACAGATGAGTAGCCCCGGTCTACCTCCCTACTGAGCCTACAGTCACGACATGACACACATAATGAACGCCCTAAGTGACCAGCACGGGAACAGCTCCTCTGGCCCATTTCAATCCACGTCCAATTCCCTGGGCAGCCTGAGACAACACTGGACTGTGCTGGAGGATCCTGTGTCCTCTCCCCCCCCTCAAAAAAGACAAGCAACAGGCTACGTATAGGCAGTCACACTT